GAAAGTGGTGGATATAAAAGTCTGTAATATCCGTAAATACTAGTAGGCATTATATATATATATACACAGACTAGAAACTTTACACGTGAATTATTTTTACGATACTCTAAATAACCAAGGGGCTAAAGTATTGTCATAGTTGGTGTAATTTGGGTAATATCCGTAAATACTAGTAGGCATTTAGTTCGCTGACGTGTCCACGATTACCGGCGAGGTCGACTCAAGAGAAATATCGCGAAAGAGGAAACCCAATCGAGAAAGTGGTGGATATAAAAGTCTGTAATATCCGTAAATACTAGTAGGCATTATATATATATATATATATACACAGACTAGAAACTTTACACGTGAATTATTTTTACGATACTCTAAATAACCAAGGGGCTAAAGTATTGTCATAGTTGGTGTAATTTGGCAATGCCCGTTAACGTATACCTTAATTAAAACTGCAGAGTAATAACGCGGAGGAAAAAAGCAAAGAGAATATATGCAAAATTGCTTAACGTTCCTGGAGCATTTAGACTACACTATATGCTATATACAACAGCATAGCTATACATATAGGACGTTATTACCCAGTCAAGAGGATATTTACGTTAATGACTCCTATAACACATTGTAAACTGTCAAGTCCGATTTCTAACAGACCTACTGAACTATATGGGGGAAAAATGTCGTAAAAAGATTCTCGACTGTCCAGCAACGATTTTGTATAACGTAAGAAAGGAAAGTATTCCAGAAACGTATACCCGCATATATTATAAAGACTGCAATAAGTAATTGAAAGTCTGATTTAAAGAAATGTTTGTTCCCAAATGTATCAAACAAAATCCAAGGCTCGCACTTGTATAATTCAAATTTTTAATACTTTTTTTCCTATTATAATACTTTTTCAGTGACGCAGTAACATGCAAGTGGAGAAATCTTTGTCTGCAGGAATTCGAATGGTACTTATTACTGAGTAACAGTCATGTAATGCATATTACTTTGTGTATTTTATACTTCAAGGGAACATGGGCGGAAATCCGTAATCTAAAAATAAAAAGTCGTTATTGATAAGAACGCAATGATAAATTCTTACGACAAAAAGAAGACGTATAATTTTGCAAACTCTGTCCTTACGTAAAAGTTAAACGAAGACGAGTATTGGTTATCAATATCGAAAATTACTCAAATATGCGTGTACTTCACTTCACCGAAGATGCACCAATTACTCCGCATTGTTCACGATTTTCATGATTGGCGAATTGATTGGTTAATCAAGATCAAATCCTTGGAATACGTAGTAGTTTCAGGAAAAATGCACCTAGCATACTATAGCTCGTATACTTGTTTTGTTCCAAAAATCACAATCCTCTTGGGGCCCTCTATCTCGGGGTTCGTTCTATCAGAGATCTCTGGTGATGAAAATGGACGATGAGTTGAGAAAAGGTGCCGAGAGAAAAAAAAAAGGAAGAGGCAGATAAATAACTAGGTCAGAGTGTATATATATATATATTGTCAATTTTACCAAAAACCTGGAAACTCAAGGGACTCTTTCACGGATACACGTACGATTCTCGGATAAATATTAATCGTCATTACGTGCATCTTGCTCGAGACGAGAAATTTTTTTTAATTTAAAATTTCCCGCCCTATACAGTGCGACCTACGTAAAGCCTCGCTGAGTTCTATGACTTATTTGTGAATTTCGAAAAATTTTTATTTCAATTAGACGCTTTCCGATGTACGCTGTTGGTAAAAATTTGAGGTCTCGCCAAAACTAGGAATGTACGTTTCAATGAAGCTGCGGCGCGTTAACTGGAATTAGTTGCTCCACTTTTCCTCTCTTTTTTTTTTTTTTTAATTTCGCTAAACTCTCACTGGGTCTTCTAGCGGAGCGCCAGAAGTGCAAACATGATTCAATTACGGCCTTGTGCTTATGTGTCTCGTATATTTTATTTGTCTGGTTTTCATATTACATAAGTTAATATATATTGTTTTGTCATTGAAATGAACACTATGCGCATACCCAGCCTATGAATACGTGAAGTTATAGAAGCACGTGCTTTAGAAATTCACACAGAAAATCTACGATACCTACAATTGGACAACCAGTCCGGTCCACCGTAGAAATTGTCTGCCACTGATAGTAAATTCCTATAGACATATAGCTGGCTTCTCAGTAACGTGATCGTGTCTTTACGACGGAATTTTAATTGGGAATTTCTTTATACGCCGATGTCTCGACCGCGCCAAGTTTTCCGGTGAAGTTGGGAAGTTTCGCGACCAAGATAATTACTTGGGGATCCGTAAGGGCGGTTTGACGGGTACGATGAAAAGAGGATGTGTCTGTATGGCGCATAAAATCGAAATTCGTCTTCTGATTGGCTATTGATCAAATTTAATGAAAAATCTGCTACGTGAAATTTAAAAGATTCATTACAATTTTCGGCAATGTTCCTAAAGTCAAACCCTATCCTTACAAAGCCATCTTGGCACTAGTGGGATCGAGCTGATATTTTTCACTTGAAAATCCATGGAGCACGGTTTTACATGCATTTACGACATGACTTCTTAACGTTAAACAAGGTCAATGTTACTTCGCGAATTTTCGCCGGGCGCTTTTGGGTCAACCGAATCGCGAACCACATAACGCATCATGCTCGATAATGACGGCCCATTGGAAATTTACAAAACTAAATGACAAACGCTAATGCGAACCGATGCTTCAATTAAACGGTCCCGTGCAAATCGTATATCCGAGCATTACCGCAAATGTAACTGCGTTACGCGACCGCTCAGCGTGTTACTATTTACGGATTCGGTTTGCCAGCCGATTTCGCGACTAAACAGAAAATCGTATAATCCTGACGAGTCGTTTTATATTAGACGCCAGTTCAAAGGCGATCGTCGAACAAAGTCCCGCTGTTGTCTCTACTCCCTCATATCGCATTACATGGTGCGTCCCCTGCATTTACCTACAGTCGCGCCGAGAGTACAAAGACGACCACGTGCGAATCCGTGTGAATTGTACAACGCGACTCCGAACGTCCCACGCGCAGTCCATTCGCTGTATTACGTATCGAGACACACGTAGCACGTGTAAAAGAACGAGCACATGCGATATGATCCTCTTAGGTAGACGACGTCGCGTTTTCATGTCGCGACGGATTTATCCACCGACAGAGGAGTTCACACGTATTCACCCTCTTTGCCGCGTCGACCTGTAGCTGCGCCTAACCTCACCCGAGACTCTTAACACCCCTGAGAGAGTCAGTAGGTGCCGCCATCACGTGCCTACGTTTCTAGGGTAGGACTGTATATAGCTAATAACAGTAGATTCGCGACTTGGAAATGGCGCGACGAACGTTGACACGACCGATAAAGCGACCATTACCGCGTAAAAGGGAAAGGCGCAGATCAGCCCTTCGGTACACGTCCTTAAGTACTCCTTTAGAGGAAATCCCAGCCCTCGTCTTTTCTTGGCTAAACCGGAATTCCTTGACGGGGTTAAACGGGGAACGAGAGGGGTTCGCGTTATCGCCCGGCAAATTCTCCTTAAGCAATGATTTTTTACAACGGCCAACTCAGCTTAACGATGTCTCTTTATATCGTCTACAGGTACCTGCCGCGAATATTCCGAGCGTGCATTATACGTACGTATAAAAGGAATATACGTGTAAAGTCGAACGGCCTTTGAAGAGAAAACCATTTTGTTTAATGCTTCGAATAATTTTCTTTTTTTTTTTTTCTTTCCAACCTATCGAACGTCTACTCCTGTATGTCCGTTGAATTTTCACGCTGTACCTCGGCGTACGTCCAGTGCCAGGTGATTGCGGCAAGTTTGCTCTACTCTTCGCGTGGAATGACGAAGGAATGAATGAAATGAGAAACTGCTTGGACCATAAAACCCCCTTGGAAGCCTTCGCACGGACGCATGGTATTTCATACCCTACATTACTGGAAGACCATAAGCTCCCGAAGGACACGCTCGTAAACGTGGAGCTTGAGGTCTGTGGGCTTGGAAAATATAAGTAAAGGAATGTACACTGGTGGACATAGTAACAAGGACACTATTGTGTTCGGCTCTCGTGAGAATGTCAGCGGTACCCTTTGACTCGTCGAGGTTTCCTACGAGATACGGGAGATGCCGTGATATCCGGTATGTAACAAGAATTAATAACTAAGGACAACTGTATAGATATACAACGCCTAGAAGTTAATTTTACTCGAGTTACTTTAGAATTGCAGCCACGTCTGACTATTCGCGGACATGAGAAACGCTTACGCGAGTATCCGCTGTTCATTTTCAAAATTTTGGGCAGCTCGTTATTCATTCCCGGAGTTTGCCGTCCGATGCCGATAACCGCGATTCCTGCCATTACCGACGAGAGTATCCTGTTTAAACCGCGCACGAAATTTAACACAATAAATATGACCGACGGTACGCCTTCCGACTAAGAAAATAAATAACTCTCAATAATTATGTTCGCGTTAAACTTAACTAATACCACCTTTCGTATCGTATTCTCGCCAAGTGACTGACTTCTCATTGGAATTCTCATCGTCGATCTCCCACGGTCTTACGACTATCCCAGAATCCATTGCGGTTTTCATGAAACTCACTCGCTCCCTCTCACTCGCTCTCACACACTATACCTAAGCGAAATAGTATCGTTAACGATACATTATTTTCTCCTATCATTTACAAGTGCCTCGTGTTTTTCGATTATCGAAACTTTCGTCGTAACGGCGATTGAAAACTTGTCAAGTGACACTTGTGCCATGGGCATTATTCATACGCACAGTCTAACGTATTACTTGAAAAGTAGGTGGCCGAAACTTTCTTAAACTTGAAAGTCAACGAAGTGTATTACATAGGGAGACACAAGTGTATGAGCAAGGGACGTGTCTCCCAATGGGATACAACGGTCCTTCGCGTTTCTCCACCGCGAAAATTTATCGTGTATCTGAAAGCGGACGAAAGGTTCTATGGAAACAAATAAGGCAATACTCACGAGATGCGAGTCTTTCGTAGTGAATGTGACCGGGTCCGAGGTTCTGGGTTCCCGACAATGGAAATCCATTTTGCCCCATGCCGCGGCTCCTGCGGCACCGCTCCTGGCAGCCTCTATCAGCTCCATCTTTACACCCTCCGCTGCAAATTCGACCTGTAACAGATTACTTGCGTTATCCTCGCAGCGGCGGAATATCGGGAGGAGGTTTTATTGCGATTTCATATTACGTCGTAGACGGAGCGGGATGAAAAAATTGTAAAATTTCGTCAATCGACCTTGGGACCCATGTGAATTCGTAAATTATTGACATTCGGCAGCATCTTAACGAATATCGATCCCCCGTTCATTCAAAGCTACAGAAACTTTTAACGGGCTATTCTCCATGACAATTTTACATTACGACTATACAGCGCGAGCCGATAACACACAGTGATTGAAATACCGTATTTGGTGATCGCATCGCTATACCGTGTGTAAGTAGATGCACAGGATTATCCAGTTTCAAGGTGCTTACATTATTGACGTTAGAGAGTTAAGTAGATTACTTGTTGTGTGTATCTATAGGCATCGATGTGTATAAGGCTAAGGAGATTAATCGCATTGCTAAACATGTACATCTTATGCTGTTTGGTTATCTCACCGAGAGGTAAATACGTGAGGGATAATGGCTTCGGATGGCTGTGCTAGCTGGTACCAATTCAATTGCACCTATCTAGGTACGGACTAGCTCTTTGATTCGTTGCTTCAATTTATTTCAAGCATTATCTGCCTCGACTCTTCCGAGCACAGCTGACGTGCAGAACGGGTCATTTTGTTCGAGCGACGTAGAACCTCGTTCTCAGCATCTTTCATATTAATGGGTCCGGGAAGTCAGTTTCAAACGAGATAAGGTCTCTAAGCAATTTTTTTAACAATGCAAGAGAGTCACCCCACTAGAAACTTCGTATTCCATGGTGATAAATTTTCGATAACCTTTAAATGGACGGATGGAAGATGTTGGCATCGGGCTCAAACTTACCAAGGCACTTTGAACTTCGATTTCGCATCGAAAATTCATTGGCCGATCGAACGCGATACGCATCCCTTGATATTTTTATAACCTGAAATAACAATGGCGGACAACAAATATTGGCCACTTGTGCGAAAGAGATAAACAGTTTTTTTCTTAAAGATCGTCTCGCTGCTGAAACTTGAGTTTGGCTAAATTAATAATCGTGGAACTTGGGATTTTCGTGACAGTGTATTTTACGTTTTATTTTTATTTAGCCACTTGAACCTTGTTGTTACGTAGTTCGTTTTTGTTTTTGATCAATTTTCTCGCGCGAAGTGATATCCTCTGAAGTTGCTTTTCTGAAGTATGTACAGGCGCTATAGTAAAACTGTGTATGACGTCGAAGTTGTAGAAAGCTTCTTTTTTTTTTTTTTTTGAAATTGTGCAAACAACCGCAGCGTCAGATGAGACAGCGAGAAGCAATGAAAGTTGTAACGATTGTTAGAGGAAACAACGTCTGCGATCCGTACTCGACAGTCTCTCCAATTCCATGTAATGAATCAGGCTCTTGTTTTTCTTTTTTTTTTATCTCGTCCCTATCTTCGTCAGTGTTTTCTCGAGCAAGTCCCCCGGGGGCTACGGGCAATTTCCTTAAAACCCAATAAAATTCACTTTCAATTCATCGGTGAAACAATGACGTCGGATTTGCAATTCGACAAATGAGAAAAATTGGAACTTGGTATGGATTTACCATAAAGTATAGAGGAATGGCTTCTGTGAAATTTTAATTATCGTACTTTTAAAATCTGCGTGCAAGTATATCTATATTTCAATTAATCCGGTAATACGTAAATAAAATGATATTGAAATTTTAATTTAATTGGAATATGTTTTTAGTATCAATTTTTTCTTACTTCTTTATTACTCCAAATGATATAGTATATTGTATATACATGTACGTAAATAATATATAACACGTACATACATCGTTTGAATATAAAGTTTGCCGCTTTACGTAACCGTCGACGAGACAGAAAGCTCGACGAAGTCGTTTTATAACGTATCGATTACGTTATGTTAAATAAACAGAAATATCCGGCGGGGACGGATGAGAAAAATAAAAATTTCCCTGGAGAATCGCTTTTTGACAGGAAATATCCGTTGAGTGAATCGCGGCTTAAGATTCGCTATACCTTTATAAGAACAACCTCACTATCGGTTAAGCCAGTCTTTCGAGAAATATTTGAAAATACATATACATATATCCAACTCGTCAGTCCACAACTTCTAGCGTATAAATCAAATAAAAACAATACAAATACCCTATACGTACTTGCCGAAAGATTATACCGAGTTTCTAGGTAAGAAAAATTCTCGACGCCATATACAACACGCGACTGATCAGTACTGTACTCACGTCTTTACGTTTATGTACGTACCTGCATATATGTATAGAAAATAAGTCTACATGAAGATATGTTGACAAGAGTCTCGATTTCATCGTAAAATTGCGAATAAAAGAGTTTCCGGAGACAGCATAACTTTCCACTCCATTCTCTCCTATTGTATACTTATTTTTCTTTTTTTAATTTTATTTTCGCTCTGAAAATACTCCACCCTCCAGGACTCCCTCATTTTTATGGAATCGCCCAACGTACGCGAGTATACATTTACGTCATGGCTAAGGGTAGATTTTTATTTTTTTATTTTTTTTTCATATACCATACTACACCATATACATGCTTTATGAATTTCCACATGGCTTTCTTTCAGACAACATCACGAGAGTCATCAACCGAACGGACCATCCAAACAAAGACCCACGTATTGCATGATAAGTGAACAAAAGAAATATAACGCGTAAACTCACGGCTCTTTATTTTTCACATTAAAGCGTTCTGCGAAATTTATCTTATCGATCCGAACCGCAAAGTCTCGAAAATTCTATTGCGACCGGAATGAAATCGGTAGTCAAGGCGAAAATAAGGGCTCCTGGTCGTGAGGTAAAGGCGCGTGGCAATAATTATTTAGTATTGTTACGTGTATCGGAGATACTTCAGTTAAGCGGCTTTCATATTACGGAAGCGCAAGACAAAAGGAACAAGGCCTTTTATCTTTTAATGAAACGCGGCGGCGGTAATAAAACGTGATATCGCCGTCAGGAGGTGCCCTGGCGAGGAAGGGACGTTCGGTATGAGAGAGAGAGAGAGAGAGGGGAGAGAGGAGGAGTGATGGTTTCGCGAGTTTCTTCGTTGTTAGGTACTAACCTACTTATGGCTCTAAGAATGACGTAGCGAGATCAAAGAGCAAGGGTTGGGGAAGTGATAGTGGCGTGGCCAGTGACGATAACGAATTAAAAATGCATACAGCTTTGCGTAATTGTCCTTTTTCATAACGACGGAACTATTGTGCTGTAACGCTTTACCACGTACCAGAATATTTTGCGAAAATTAATAATCGACTTCGTCGAACCTATCATTAATTTTCGTGTCGTCAAGTTGCTTCCCTCGCTGCCCTCCGACCCTGCCGATGTGTCAGGTTCAATATCGTTCGAGCCGAAAAGCGCCTTGCATCGTTTTAAGTGTCTCGTGTGCGCAGAATTGGAAAGGGGATTAACCTTCGGGCACCGAGACGCCAACGATGTTCACCCATGTAACCCATAGTGTTGCGACTTACTCCAAGAGGATTTTAATGCTTCGGAAAAGCAAGCTCACTTACCTTGCGAAGGCATCCAACGAAGTTGTTGATTCCCTTCGCCCCTTGAAGCGATCTGGCATCGGCGCCGCCACCGACCAAGAGTCGATCACTCGCCAGCTTAGTGAAGGATCCTGCCGTGTGTTCGTGTTTGGTATAAATTCCATCGACCATTGCTGAAAGCTGTAATAGTAAAATAAAATAATTATAATGGGTATTTTTTATTGTTACTTCTCTTTTTTTTTTAATTTGTAATTTAACACGCGTACATATAGTATGTGTGTATTGTATATGCGCATGTAGATCTGGACGCTATGCGGATATTTACATACATGTATGAACTGAGACAAAGGAAAGATACTGGGATTTGCCAGCCATTCGTCTTTGGCTCCCGTCCGCGACGCCCTACGCATCCATTATTCAGAAAGAGGAGTACCGGGAGTCGTGCTCCAGAAATTGTTCCTGCAGAAGATCCATGGCGTGAAATAAAAAAGACCACGTAGTTTTCTTACGGGTCTGAGATATCATCGGGAGTACTTTTACTATATTTTACGTCCATGCATCAATTTCGTGTATTATTTTAATATTTTTGCTTTTAACAATTGATTAAGAAAATTTGATTAGGGATGAGTGACGCTTCAGATTTTTGTGGAAAAAGAGTCATGGAAGTGTATGCGCATGCGCGAAGGTGATCGTTCCAATAATATCTGCCGATATCGATATCACCGAAAACCTCATCAGCTTTTCCAGAAATCTTTGGAAATTATATTTTGAATTTATTGATTAAGATATGAGGGGATGAAATCATATTTCTTACAAATTCCTATCTAATTGAAAGGCTTTCGTTGCTTTTGGGCAATTTTTTTGTACAATTTACTTTTTCATTATAAAGCATACAATGTACAGTTTTTATAGCACGTGCCTATACCGTGGATGGCATGCTATAAAGGTTATACGATGATTTCCAGAAAACGAGCCAATCAAAATTGGATAACAAAAAATGGTCATATCGAAGTATGATTACGATTATCGATCGATTTCGCTCGTAAAAAATCCTTTATGCAGCGATGACATAAAAAGAATAATTTGAAAATTCCTTAGCGATGTTAATGGAAAACTTGGCAGCCAAACCCTCGCTTTTTCGCAATAGCCACATGCTAATTGTTACGCTCGCGTAACGTGCCAAAGCTTGTCTCGTTATCGTTTGTAATACCGGCTTTACGCGTTTGCGGGCATAATCCCAGCGGAACGGCGAATCCGCTGTAAAACTTTTTAATTAAGCCAATTAATCCCCTTCGCTATTTCGCACGAAAAGCGCGAAAGCGAGTCTAGCAGCACGCGGACGGCGTTTGGCGACCCGAGGCTGGAAAAAGTTCAAGAGGGTGGGACTCGTAGTCAATGTGAACCCGACGAAACGAAGATAGTTTACGATACTCCCTAGAAAATATTTTCGACGATTTACCTAATTTCAAAGAATTTCCACTATGCATAGCATTGAAAATCAAAACAAGTTCAACGTCTTTACCAATAACTGATGACTATCACAGTGAAAAGAAAAAGGGATACAGATAAAAAAAAACCACGAATAAGAGTATTCGACAGAAAAATTTCAATTAACCCTGCACATTTCCAAATAACAGAAATATTATCAAGCCCCATTCGCAATATCCCTTCAAGCGATTATACCCAAAATATTGTCGTCTCAAGCTCAAATAGCATTTTACGTCACATTGTTAAATACCGGCCTAGCCGAACCCCAATAATAATCTTTCCCTACGGAAATAAAATGATGGATTTATCATTCCGTTAGCTTGTTCCATACAGCAATCCCTCCAGTTCCGATAACTTCGCCGAGATTGTTGTATCCGAAATATCCTTGCCAGTGAATCGACCGCAATCCCGTTTACATAATTAACATTACTTGACGAGGAGATTGCTACCATCTCGAAACAAACGAGCACGTGTCGCTATTAGCCTAATGAAGGATGAAGGTGGTAAGATGATAGAAGAAGGATGAAGGCTGATGGTATTACATCCAAGACGTAGAGTAGGTACTAGGTCCCAAAGCAGCTCACCATCAGTTCCCAGTCTCCAGTACTGTTCACGAGAATGGTCCGTACCACCGAGTCCAGATTATCCAACCTAACATAACCCTAACCTAACCGTAACGCGCATCCAGTCTCAGTTAATTTCCAGCCAGCCGGAGCTTTACTGCCTAACATTTGTCATAGGGAGCGTGCGATAAACGCACGTGGCTTTATCTCTTGCGCGCGCAACCCATCTCAGCATCCTGGCTATACAGCTAACCGGAGGGGTATGTGCAGAATCGGATACGAGATTTTACTGTAATTAATGGTTAATGAAGTCTCGAAAGGCTTTCGAGGCATTGGGATTCAAACTTTGATATTGATATGAATTGGAGCTTTGTGTAGCAAAGAAACATTTTACTGTCTAGCATGTATATATACTGTGCATATATGTATATCTGGTTATGCCTATACATTGGCACATTATAAAATTAGAAAGTATTTAAAAAGAATCAACCTGCTACCTGTAATGAAGTAACTAGAACTTTATTATTTTAATTACGGTAAATCCTATTATGTTTTTGCTTCCTTGTTGTTCTTTAGCTCTTTCGTTATCTTCATTAACTTCGTTATATTCTACTTTACGCTTCGTGGCACTCGCTCTTTTGGTTCCGGTATTACCCGACGAATTTTCGACTCTTCCGGGTACCCATAATTAGGTCCCTGACTCCGTTCCGAAAGTTGCTCGACGACGAGAAGAATTGCGAAAGGTGGATGAAGGAAGAGCTCGCTCTTCGTAATACCAAGCTGCTGCTTACATTGAACTTTTATCTTCAATGTTTTCTCATGAACAAATAAAGCTCGGTAATACTGCACTGCGGGAAATTGTGAAGATTGCGCAGGGGTAATGCGAAAGATGGATCCTTGAGTATTCGAAGAAAATTTCCAAGATTATTCCAACTTTTTTTGGTATGACCATAACGTGCGATTGTACACATTTTTATTTACTACATAAATATGGCAACTATTTACGAAATTAATAAATATGATGGAAAAAGATAAAAAAAATTCATTAAGTTATCTGTCCTTCGATGATATGAGCTTATAGACCCCTTGAGTCTTATGAATGATTAAATTATTTCTTTTACCTAAGTAAAGTGAGGCAAAGGAGTCCGCAATGTTTTTCTAGGCTTTCCTGTCATTCTCGTCGGAGCTTTTACGACCACAAGCTCGAACGACTAAAGAGCTTTTTCCCTGGGAGCTATTACGAATACATACTCCATGGTTAAGGTAAAATTCCACGAAATTGTCTTATGTTTCACTTACTAGTAAACAGTTGATGAGTGCTAATTATTAACAAACAGTGCCTGTAGCCGTCGGCAATAGTACGTACTGTTTGATGTATCTAGCACACTACGTTCTCTTGGTGATCTTTATCTTGCCCTTATTTGCTTTAACTAAGATTCTAGGAAACTACGTAGTCGATGCCTAACTAGGGCTCCTACTGGACTGGTACTGAATTAAATGTCGGGTTGAATTATTTCTGTTTATCTTGGAGTATAAGGTTGGTAACTAAGCTGGGGATGCATGCGATATTGATTTTGTCAACAACGACGTCAAGGCGTCTTTGGTTAGTTTTCAAGGAAAACGAAGCAAGGCCCAGTTAAGACCCCAGTTAACCCCCGGAGGCGGGTTCAGACACCGGAAAGCTTTACGATACGTTGTGCACCGTAACTGAAGCGCACGAAATCACCCGGATCTTCGAAACTGACGAAGTAAGTAAGTTAAATGGTAACTTTCTTTGGTTCGTGTAATAAAGGCTTTGCACGAAACGACTGTAAAGTTGGTCATAGCGAATACACAGTGCAGCGTGAAGAGGCGTCACTCAAATTCATACTCAAATAATAAATTTGCACAAGTATACCAAAAACTGTTATTCTCATATTAAATTCTAACTTAAAAATATTATTTGTTTAATTTCAGAAAAAATTTTCGAAATAACTCATCAAGGCATTAATAATCCAATACTAGTCACGGGATACTCGCGATTAGTATGTATTTACGGAGGGGTCATCTTCGAATGAGTTTCAGAGCTAAAGAGTCCCCTGGGGCTTTACAGTTTCCACATCGTGGATATATGCACACTGTACGTATAGTCAATAATGATTCAGTAGATGGAGGGCGTTAAGCATTGCGAAAATAACTTCAATACTCAAGGGGATCCTGGAAACATTGCTGAAGTGAGTGGAAATGGGTGATATTTCTGCATGAAAATTAGCGCAGCGTGTATGCGAATCGTATGAGTAGGCGCCGTGGTAAATTATACGGTTGCGCAATGTGGTGCAGCTTAACCGTTACATTAATTTTCATGTCACACCTGCATTAGTACGTACTAATGTAGTCGGTAAGTAAACGGAAATGCGGACTTCTTAGCGTACAGAGGGTGAAGGCGGGAGGGGGTGGTGGCTACGAAGTGGGCCTGGAGGTGAGGTAAAGTGAAGTGGGTATGCTCTCCGACTTCATTAGTTACCGGCTGAGAAAAGATCTTCAAATCAGATGAATTTGATCTGATATTCAACAAAAGTACCACGCCGTAATATTAATTTTCCTAATGTTCTTCTGTCTTTATCTATTGTATACCATACTCTATACAATCCACGTAGAAACTATAGCTACGTACTGTAATGTATTTTCTTAACCCGATACCGATAACGAAAATCCGAGAACTAACCTACGTCACCTTCGGCCGTCCATCCTTTGTCCCTTCATGCCAGGCGGACGCCAGCCAATTCATTTTTCACCAGGAACTGACGAATCGGTATGACCTGAGAGTTAAAGTCGAACAGTTTCAATTTCGGCCACACGAGAACCTTGACGGCAACCTATCAGAAAAGACGATAGCTTAACGGATCTTGTCGATTTTTGGGGACGCGTAAAATCGAGAAACGCACTCGTAGGTGCTGATATTTGGATTCGCACAAAATCAGCAAACACAACTGAATGATAAATGTTGCCGGAAACAGAAAGTAATTGATCGAAAACATAGCAGAACGAATCAGAATTATAAAATCGAAATCCCTTCACCAATGAGAGTTCTCACCGGAGATGGTTCAGCTGATTCGTGAAGGCCGAGAATTGCATCCAGGGGACACTCAG